GAAAATACACCTCCAATGATACTAGTATAAAGGCAACATCCTTTTTTTCTCCATGGAGATCATTGTCCCTTCAGACACTCCCAGAGGAGCATGGTCTCCTGAAGAAGACAGGAAGGACATATCTAAAACTGTCTAATTGTTACATTTTTACACTTAGTTATCTGTGTATGCAAGTTAGGTTTTGATGAGGCAAATATGAGTAAGCATGTTGTTGATTCAAGAAATAAAGATTAGAATGGCCACATATAGTTGTAAAAATCACAGTGGAATTACTTGTAACAAAAGTTACTAAGAAAAGAATTCTCCATTATCTCTGGGGTGCAGATAACTTACATAGAGTTAACCAAAATTTACAGAGGTTGTCATAGGACTATGGAGGATGTTAGGCTGATTAAAAGTTGTAATTTCATGTATATATTTGTATCAAGTCCCATTTCTAAAGGAATTTATATTTGGGTTGAGTCTTTGACAAATTCTAAAAATGGCTTAAGGAGTAAAACAAATCAAGTAAAAATTGCCATGGCTGTAGATAGTCAAAAAGGGGTTAAGCTTAGTTTCTGCAAAACAAATACGTTCCAGAAGGTGTAAGAACACTTTGAAAATACCCATCAGATGTTACCACCAGTAAAGTGTAAAGGGAAACTTTTTCTGAACAGTATGACTGAACAGTATTTCTTTGAGGGGGAAATATATAGTTTGGGGAGGGGTGAGGTAGGGAGTTAGGTATGGCTTAATAAGGAAGATCAGATGTAAGCTATATAGGTTGAGGGAAAAGATCAGGGTAGGCATGGGCAAATCCAAAACTCACGCAAGTTTTCTGCCAAGCATGCTAACAGATTCAGCCAGGAAGATTCAGACAGTTCATTACTTACACAGACAACAAATGCATGATCTGCATGGTGTCAGCTCCACATGTCCCTCATCCCAGTCAGTAACCCTGAAATCAAAAGGCCAGACTATTTTAGACATGGGGAATGGTGGGAGAGGTGCTAAGGAACAGGTGCCATTTGAGGAGACAATAGGAAAGTGAGGAGAAATAGCCTTGTAGCAGCACCGCCCAAGGCTGCCTATTTTTCCATATTCTGGAGGATGACGGCATTCTGCCAAGGCTTAGGTCAGCCTGTGGTTGAGTCTTACCTGTATGGCCTCTGTGGAGACACGTAAGGTGTCGGCATCAGTACAGAGCAGTTCTCCTAAATTGTCATCCATGGTAAAGGAGAAATGACAGGGTGAATTAGAACAAAAGCACGGAGAGAAAATTATTACAAGCAATAGTTTCAAGAAGCTAGGAAATTTGTGTTCTATTGGTCTTAGGATAACCAGCCTACTCTAAGGTTGTATGCTCCTGTCTTGGACTGTGAAGAAATCCTGGGCATCCTAACACAGTCACTTGGTACTGAAAATTGATTCTAAAAAACATCTTTTTTTGTGGTGATCCTATCAACCTATCCCAGAGAGCTTGTGTTGACAAGTAATGTCTTTGTAATATCATCTATCAGGAGTACTTGTATAGTCTTATTGAGGCTTTTTTGTTTCTTCCAGAAGACTCAGTTTCTGATCTGTAGCTTGTAATAAGAGCCTTTAGACAAGTGTAAGGAAAAAGCAGAAACTACCTCTGGAGGTAAGACTGAATAGTTTGGGTTACTTTATTTTAATAGCCAACAATATCAGAATGGAGAAAAGTAGAATCCTCTATGAGACATGTCAGTGTGTAAGGATTTAGTGAATAATTTAGCTCAAAATAAGATGATGGACAGTGAGGGCATTAACCAGTTCAGAGTCTTTTATATCATGGTGCTCTATGGTTTTCTCTAGTTGTCTCCAATCTAGATGTACATCTAGAGATAAAACCTTTTTAAACTTTATTTAATAGAGATAAAATTCACCCTTTTAAAATATACAATTCACTGGTTTTTAGGATGGTCACAGAGTTGTGCAGCCATTACCCCTATCTCACTTTAGAATATTTTCAGCACTCCAAAAAGAAACCCCATGCCCAATGGCAACCACTCCCTATTTCTCCCTCTAATCTACCTGGCAACCCCTAATCTATTTTCTGTCTCTATGGATTTGCCTAAAAGATCAGTTCTTTAAAAAATAATTTTGTTTATTAAACTGGGCAGTTATTTCCATGTCCATAAACATTAATATGCCTCTTCCTAAAAAGGACATATCACTCTATTACATTAATAAAAAGTCACCCATATATAATTGACTTGGTAGCTTCTCTTTTTTATTTATTAATTTTTAAAAAATTATCTTGTAATCTGTATGTATAACAAAACACCTTTATAATAGTGTTGAGCTAATTAAGAAAGTAGAGAATTCTAAACACTCTTCAATTACTTCTGTTATCTCTTCTCTTTTTCATTTTTCAGAGCTAGATTAGTATATGACACATTTGTAGGTACTTGGTCAAAAAAGCCTTACTTTCTTTTGATGACAGAATTGGAATTAGAATCCAACTTTCTTCCCATTAAGTCTCCTTCTCTTTCCATTACACCACACATGCTCTCCACTTGTGCCCAAGGCTGACTTTTTAGTTCAGAGAAGTGTCGATCATTGTTCTTTGTTTCCTTTTTCTCTCCTTTTTTTTGTAACCAAACATAAATTCGCAAATTTAAATTTGTTATTGTATGAGTGCTAAAATGATAAATAGGCTAAGAGAGAGGAAGGAAAAATAAAAAAACTTTTAATGTTTGTATCTAACAGCAAATATAAATTCCTGTATTTCACAGTTCAAGAATTTATATAAAGTATGATATAAATTCATATTAACATTTTCAGCTTGAATACTTTATGTATTTAAATAGCTCTAGTCAAAATGCTAAATATGATTTAGTGATTTAAGACACAAAATTTTTTATGCTTTAAGGAACTCAAGTTGGAGGAGAGAGGGGGTGAAAGGATGAATGGCCACAGGTTTTTTTGTTGTTTGTATTTTAAGTTTTATTATATAAATATAGATGGCAAAGTACACATATTAAATGTACAACTTGTTGATTTTACACACAGAGATACACACACACACATGTATAAAATAATCACCACACAGATCGATATACAGAGTATTTTAACACCCTAGAAGTTTCCTTGGTACCCCTTTTTGTCAGTTACAGCTCTCCAGGAGGTAATCACTGTCCTGACTTCTGTCACCAGAGATGTCTGTGGTGCATATATCCACTCATTTTTCTTGGGCCAGAGGTTTTATAGTATTTCAAAAGTTTAGAAATTTTTTTTAGTAAAACAGCCAAGTCTGCTTCACAAGAAATTTGCAAGTCCTCCTAAATGGATACATACTTCTTTGAGTTTATTAGAAATGGGGGAAAAATGACATTGACTGCATAGCCAGTTTTGGGTCATATCACATGCCTGTCCTATAATGCAAGAGTTAAAGGTGTAATACTTTCATTCAGTAAACAGCAGCGCTCCATGCTAGGGGTTAGAGATGCAGCCATGAAAGACACAGCCATATATCCTGCTTCTGCCAATCAATAAAATTTGAACATGTGTAGGAGTGATAATGAAGTGAGAATTATCAGGGTAGTACTTTGGATGGAGTATCTCACCTAAACCTGGGTAGTCAGTGGGATCATCATGGAGGAAATAACAACCCGGTCCTAAAGATGGAATTGGATATACCGAGGTGAAGCGGGTGAGGGGGTGGGTTTTGAGAAGAGCAGAGCAGTGAGAATTTTTGAGGCAGTGTATAAGGCTTGGAGGTGAGAAATAGAAAGTAACTGGATAAGCAGGGCTGCAGTTATAAAGGGCCTTCAGTCAGTATCAAGCAGTTTGGACACCATCCTAAGGTCAGAAGAATATTATTGATACCATATTTTTTTTGCTACAGAAAGCTTCAAACACATATAAAGGGAATACTGGTGTGAATCCTCATATACATATCCCACAGTTTCAGCATTTACTAACTCATGACCAATCTTGTTGAGACCCATTCCTCCATATCCAGTGGGTTGTTCTGAAGCAAATCTGAGATATTTCATCATTACTGAAGATGTTGAGCAGGAGAGTGGCATGATACGTTCTGCATTTTAGAAATGACACATAGCTAGTACTTAAAAAATATCTTTAAAATACACTCACCATAGTCTGCGTGCTTCTTACTTGCTTCCAGTCATATAAAGACCTTTGTCTTTCTGCATCATTGTGTACTACTTGTAGTAGTTGTATGTTTTCAAACTATATGGAAGCATTAACTGTTAAAATTATTTTATGTATTTATATTCCTACATAGATCAATTGGTTAATTTGCATTTAAAAATACTATTAATGAACATTTTGGCTTCTATAACTATAAAAATGTCATAATCAGTGTAAAAGTTTTTGTTTCTAGATTTCAGTCTCCATAATAGCAAAGATACTAGTATTTGGAAAGTGGAATTAGGTTTCCAGTTTTATGATGACTATTTTTTACAGATTCCAGTTGAGGAATTTACTATTCTGCTTTTGTGGGTCATGTTTTATTACTTACCTATCTATTGAAATTTGTTTTCTTACTGAAGCTTACTTTGATGGTAAGAATATAGATTGCTTGTATTTTAAAGCTATTTTAGCTGTCTATAGGCCACTAAATTAAAAAGTCCTTCTTGTAATGAGAATGTTTACTTCCTGAAGTGTTTTAGTTTAATGTTTTTTAAAAAGGTAATTTAGTGGATGGCAACTATTGTAATACTTTGGGATAGCACTGCATTCATGCATGCAGTCATTCATTTGGTGAAGTTAGTGATCTTACTGTAACTCAGATGTTAGAAAATTGGCTGCTGTGACTGGGTCTTATTAAGAGGAAAAGAATTTACAACAGAAATGTGGCCTGCAAATGTGAAATGTTTACTGTCTGGCCCCTTACAGAGAAAGCTTACCAACCCTTGGTGTAAATGAATACAACTTAAATTCTTGTCATGTGCATTTTTTCTTTTGGAAATGTTCTGTAAAATTCATTTTAGATTGACATTTGAAAATAAAAATTTCATTGCCATTTATAGAGAAGATGGTGAATTAGAAGATGGTGAAATAGATGATGCTGGATTTGAAGAAACACAAGAAGAGGAAGTAAAAGAGGGTGAAAAGCAGAAAAATGAGAAAACCTACAGAAAATCAAGGAAAAAACACAAGAAAGAGAGAGAGAAGAAAAAATCCAAAAGGAGAAAACGTGAGAAACATAAGGTTAGTTAGAATCTACTTTTTGTTCTTTTGTTGAATTTTTGTGAAATATAAAATAATGAAAATTATTGGAAAGTAGAAATCATTGCCTATTTTTTTATAACACCTGGGTCATATCTTTTTATTTATGTGATTAATAAATTTTCTGAACATAAAGATTATATGAATTAAAGATTTAAAAAATAATCAAGGAAGTTTTTAATGAAAGTTAAAATACATCTTTTTAATTGATGGAAGAGTATACACCTTTCCTGAAAGGTTAAGGAAAGAAGTCTCATTTTCTACAGTTACTGATTAATGACATTGATATTTCCATCCATTCACTTTTTTATTCATTTATATGTATTATGGCATGCTGGCAATGGGAGTCTTTGCTCTATGCCAGGGGTTATGAAGCAGTGGTGAATGAAGCAGTCTCTACTCTACCAAGATTACATTGAAATGGGAAGGAGAGAGGCAGTGAACAGATGGAAAGCAAACGCTACCAAGGAAACAGTAGTGTGCTGGATAGAGGAAATATGGTTTGGGGTAGGAAGGACAGGAAACCTGTGCTGATGGACAACTCAAGAAGAGTTGACAGTAGTGGTGGTATAGCTTTTGAAACTCCCTGAAATTCCCCATTAACAACATCAATAGGAATAGCAAAACCAAAAACTCATTAGCAACATCTACCAAGAAATGAATAACAGGTTGTTCCCACAAACCTCAAAAATACAAATGGATAAGGCCAAACCTCGGACAGCAACAAGATGAGTGTAGGATCAGGAACTGTGTGTGAGGAAGCAGAGGGAAGGCAATGAGACTACCAGAAAGCAAATTGCCAACAGGTACTCATGTCAGGTGGAGGAGTACTCACTCAACAAGAAAAGCCCCTGGGTCAAACTGAGAACAGCAACAACTGGGAGGGAGATTTACCAGTTCTATTTCAGGTGAGTGTGAGGTAACCACGTAAAAAATTGGATGGTGCTGGAACTGTCTGGGCCTGATGAGCTCCTAGTGCTAGTCAGCTAAATCCCTAGAGGACAGAATCTCACACTGAGAAGCTTACCCCTGGCACTAGAATCTAAATTGAGAGGACAAGCATACTGTAGGGCCAAGGACAAGAATGGTCAGATAAAAAGTGGAGGAAGGGAGCAGGGGAAGCATATCTCTGAGATACACCAGCTTAATTTTTAATACTTCATGCTAGCAAAAGAAGAAATAGCCCTTGAGAAGGAAAGCCAGGAATGTTTTCCTGACCCATTCCCCTTACACATGAGCAACAAGACAAGACCAAGATAGCATTCCATATATACTGTTACTATAAAAAGAGAATAATGGAGAGAAGAATATTCTTCCAGAAAAGAAAGAATGTCCACAAAACATGAAACACTTAACCTAATATTTCACAATGGTTAAAAAAAAATTAAGAAAACAATACAAGTTCTGATCCAACAGCATAAGTAGTATTTGGAGGCATATTCTTTGGTCATCTAGGCAAAAAGATCAAGTCCTATATTAGGAAAAAGAAATTGGATTTTCATAAAAATTTTTGGTATCAACATTTCATGCTGGAAGATAATGGAGTAACATATTTGAATAAGATGTGAGCCATGGATTTTTATATCCAACTAAATTCTAATCTTCAAATATAAAATCCTCAGAAAAACTGTGGATAAGAGTACTCGGAAAATACTATCATGAGCCTTCCTATAGAATCTATTAGAGAACAAGTTCGGATAACCGAAGTGAGGGTTGGGGAGAGAGACTGATCTACACACACAGACATATTTATTTGTAAAACTAAGACTAAATGATGGACGTAAGGGGAGAATTGTATTTTGTATCTGAACATTATAACTAAAAAATGTCAGGAAAAGCGGAAGAGTATATGGCAAGAAAGATAAGCTTACTGGTTGCCTTATAGTTATTAACTCAGAGTGAAGGGTATAACTTCAAATTATTATTCTGGGAATGAAAAAGAGAATGTAGAAGAGATTACTGTCTAATTTCAATATTTGGCCTATTAGTAAACAAATAGTATGCCAAGAAGGGAGAGTGACTAAGGTTATTGGGAAGAGGTAATATGAAGGGAATAAATTGAAAAATACAAACCTTTCTCTAAATACCAAACAACAGACTCCCAACAATGCAAAATCCCACTCGTAAGTGATGCACAAGAGGGAAATTTCACAAATGGGTAAAGTTGTGCCAGGCAAATGCAAAGACAGAGGCAGAGGTCATAATTTTATATCTGAAAAAGTCAAATTTATGTTAAAAAGGCATTGAAAGAAACAAGGGCTTTTTATAATGTTAAAAGTTACAATTCACAATGAAGTAGAAGTTACTTTTTAAATATCTCCCCAAAAGCAACTTTCATAAAGCAGAAACTATAGGAGTTGTGAGAAGAAATAGACAGGAATACACTAGTAAAAGGAGATACACCAGTATGCCTTCTTAATCCAAAGAGAGAGATCAAGGGGTTGAAAGGTAGTAAGGATATTAAAGAGACATTCTAAATAAATAGTAAACCTGTAATCCTAAGAATACATCTCTCTCTCAAATATACTTAGAATATGCATAAAAAGTGACCGTATCATAGGCCACAAAGAAAACTCCAATTAATTTGATAGAATAGAAATCATACAAAGTGTAATCTCAAAGCACAATGCAATTAAACTAGACAATAATACCAAAGTAGAAAAACAAAAATGCCTTTCTCTTTTTGTAATTCAGATACTTGATATAGATGGCCTGTGAGACATAGGGGAAACAATATTAAAACTGCAGAATTTCATGAAAATAATGATAAAACCTTGACATACAAGTATTTATGGAATATAGCTAAAGCAGTTTTCAGAAGAAAAGTTATAGAATTATAGTATTAAAAGCTTTTCTAGCTTTTAAGCAAAGTAAAACAAAAGATTCAAAAGAAAGGATTTACTGAAGTTACCTGCAGGACTGAACAAATAAAATGAAAAATCAATGGTTATTTAAAAAAGATTAACAGCATACATAATCATTGGCCAAACTAATGAAGAAAAAAAGGAAAAGTAAAAATAAAATTAGAAATGTTGAAGCTAAGAACTTTTGAACCCATCAAGTTCTGTCTCTTTTGAAACAGTCCTTCCTTTAATTTATGTTCTCTGACAGGTACTTTCAACATTTTGCTTGAAAATCTTGAGTAGATCACCTAACTCATCAGACACATCTGCTTTCCACATTACTAAATGTGAAAGTTACTAAATTTTATGCCACTGTATGACAAGGATCTTCCCTCCTCCAGTTGTAATAGGGTATCTCTCACTTTAAGTTGTCTTAAAGTCCTTCCAGGTTCCATCCACTTCCTGGTTCCAAAACCCCTCCCACCTTTAAATATTTGGCATTTCCAGACACCAAAATAAATATTAGTTTTGCAAAACATATCACCCCAACTTAGAAGCTAAAAACAACAAAAATTTATTGCCCAGTTTCTGTGGGCAGAAATCTGGGTGAGGCCTAACTCGGTGATTCTGACTCAGCTTTTCTAATAATGTTGCAGTCATCTCAAGGCAGCTTCCTTTTCCAAGTTCGTTTACATGGCTCTTGGCAGTCCTCAGTTCCTCACCACTTGAACCACTTTACAGGCTGCCTCAGTGTCCTCCTGATAAGGGGTAGCTTCCTCCAAAGCTGGTAAACCAAGAGTGAGAGAAAGCACCCAAAATGAAAGCTATAGTCTTTTTATAACATAATATATGCCATCACTTCTGACATATTTCATTTGCTAGAAACAAGTTCCCAAGTCATCCCACACTCAAGGGGAGAGAAATTAATCTCCACTTCTTGAGGGAAGGAGTAATAAAGAATTTGTGGACTTATCTTTAAAGCTACCACCCAAGGACAGATAGGAAAACCTGAAAAGAAAGAATATGTGGGGTGTCCCTAACATATTAAAGCACAGTAAAGCCTTTGTTTTGTTATTAAAGCAGTACTGGTATTTTTTAAAGCATTAAAGTATTACTGTAGTACTGATGCATGGGAAAATAGAAAAATCAGACACAGACCAAATGCACATGGAAATTTTGTTTATGATAGAGGAGCATCTCAAACTAGTGTGAAAAGATTAACTTATTAAATGAGCAGTGTTGAGAGAGTTGGAGTGATATGGACATAAAAGTGTTATTCTTACATCAGTATAAATTCCAGATAGATCAAAGATTTAAATGTAAAAAATAAAACCTATGCAAGTATTAGAATAAAACAGGGGTGAAGTCCTCTATTACCAGGGAGTAGAGAAACTTTCTTAACTATGATCCAAGGTCTTAAACAATAAGGAATTAATTAGCAAACTTCTCTATCTATAAAATACAGAAGAAGAAAGGACATTTACTGTGTCCTTTGAATTAAGAATCTACACTCCCCCTGTATCCCTCCTTCTAGGACCTGTAGTCCAACAGAACTTTGAGGTTTCAGAGACAGGAAGCACAAATTCTTGGTAGTATGAGAGGATACATTTTTACTGGATCCACAAATTCTACCTATTGATTCGAAGTGTATACCACGTTTCTTTGATTTTTGAGAAAGCAGTTACTTGCATTAGAAAGCAAGTAGCACAACTTTTAATGAAGTGGGTACATTCCAGCAGTCCACTTTGCTGTCAGGAAATTTGTGACTTCTGTTAGAAACGTAACAGGAAGTTGTACCCTCCTGTCAATCATTATCAACTACCTGTGGTTTCCATTTCACTTCTGTTCAGTTTTGTGGGTTGGATTTATTTCATACTTATAATTTGGAATGTTTTGATATCTTTTAGCTACATGGTGCTTAGGCACCTGTAGAACAAGAACTCTAAAGCCATTGTATGTAAAAATAAACTAATTCATACTGTATTCATGTTCTTGAACCCTTTTTGGTGATGAGGAACCAATTTTATTTCTTTAAAGTTTAACTTAAATCTAAGATCACTTTAGAGCACAGAGGTGGCAGTATTTCCATTTGAAGTCCTTTGGCCCAAAGGGTTGATGAGAAAAATGCTGCCATAAAGACCCTAGGAAGAGGGGAAAATATACTTTTCCTCAGAAGATTTTAGGGAAGTTGTAGTGGTTGTGGCCTTTGGAACAAGAATTTTTCAGTTAATACTTCAGAACCTACCAGGATAATATAACCTATTGGTTGGCACCTCTGGCTGAAAGAGGTTTATCTAGTTGCTAGTGAAATGTTTTTCCTGTTGCAAATGTCACATATTTGTTTTTTCCCTTCTTTTAGCATAATTCTCCATCTAGTGATGATAGTTCAAACTACAGCCTTGATTCAGATGTTGAACATACAGAAAGTTCCCACAAAAAAAGAACTGGTTTCTACAGGGATTATGACATTCCATTTCCTCAGGTATTACCTTTTTTTTTTCTTTTTTTCTTTTATATAGAACAGAAATTTTTTTGTTGTTAAGGTATCATTGATAAAGATTCTTATGAAAGTTTCACATGAAAAACACTGTGGTTAATATACTCACCCATATTATCAAGTCCCCCCCCATACCTCATGAAGTCACTGCCCATCAGTGTAGTACGATGCCACAGAGTCACTACTTGTCTTCTTTGTGCTACACTATCTTCCCCATGATACCCCACACACACCATGTATACTAATCATACCCCTCAATTCCCTTCTCCCTCCCTCCCCAACCCCCGACCGCTAGTTCCTTCTTGGAGTCTGTGAGTGTTGCTGTTTTGTTCCTTCAGTTTTGCTTCGTTGTTATACTCCACAAATGAGGGGAATCATTTGGTACTTGTCTTTCTCCGCCTGGCTTATTTCACTGAGCATAATATCCTCTAGCTCCATCCATGTTCAGAACAGAAAATATACCCTTTTAATCATTTTTAAATAATACAATTCAGTGACATTAAGTACATTTACAATGTTATACAGCCATTGCCACTATCCATTTCCAGAACCTTGTCATCATCCCAAGTAGAAGCTGTGTACCCATCAAGCATTAACTCCTCATTTTCCCTTCCCCCTTTGCCCCTGGTAACCACTATTCTACTTTCTGTCTCTTTGCATTTGCCTATTCCAAGTACCTCATACAGGTGGAATCATACAGCATTTGTCCTTTTGTGTCTAGCTTATTTCACTTATCATAATTTTTTCAAGGCTCATCTATGTTGTAGCATGTATCAGAATTTCATTCTTTTTTAAGGCTAGATAATACTCCACTGAATATATATGCCACAGTTTATTTACCCATTCCTCTGTTAATGGACATTTGTATTGCTTCTTCCTTTTGGCTACTGTGAATAATGCTGCTCTGCATTGGTGTACAGTATCTTTTTTTAGATCTTGCTTCCAATTCTTTGGTGTATATACCTATAAGTTGAGTTGCTGGATCATATGGTAATTCTGTGTTTAACTTTCTGAGGAATTGCCAAACTCTTTTCTATAATGGCTACACTATTTTACATTCCCACCAACAATACACGAGATTTTTCCAGTTTCTCCACATCATTGCCAAAATTGTTATTTTCTGTTTTCTTTTTTTTCTAATAATAGTCTTCCTAATGGATGTGAAATGGTATCTCATTGTACTTTTGAGGTATTGCATTTTAAAGGGAAAATAAAACTTCTAATTTTATTCTTTGCTTTCTGATTTTTTGAAAAAATGTTTGTAAGACATATGCTACAAATTTTAAGTTTTTGAAAATAAAAGACTATATCATGTATTAGTTTGCTGGTGTTGCCATAACAAAATACCACTGCCTAGTGGCTTAAACCACAGATTTTTAATTTCTCATAGTCTGGAGGCTAGAAGTGCAAGATCAAAATGCTGGCATGGTTGTTTTCCTCTGAGGATCATAAGGGAAGGATCTGTTGAGGCCTCTCATTTTGGCTGGTAGATGGTTACCTTCTCGCTGCCTTGTCCTCACGTGGCCATACTTTTGTACATGCACATCACTGTTATCTCTCTGTGTGTCCATATTTCCTCTTATAAGGACACCAGTCAGACAGGATCATGGCCCACTTTGACTCATTTTTACTTAATCACCTCTTTAAGGCCCCCCTCTCTCTCTAAAACACAGTCACATTTTGAGGTACTGAAGGTTAGGGCTTCTTTATGCCACAAATATTCTCATAGATGCTACAAATTTTATCATATTGCTGTGTACGGCAGTGTTCAGTATTTTGTGCTATAAAAATCATGATGCTGTTAGGAGTACTGGGGAATATTCAGGTTAATGTGCACTTGTCTGAAAACCCCAGATTTTTGAAGTTCTGTTTTCTGCCAGTCTGTCAATATGCTTGTCTACAAGAACTCAATTCATTCTCCTAAGTTGATGTTCCTCACTGCTATATATTTACTGTGAGCTTAGAAAACACAATACTATGTTAGAGTTCTTTCTATTGCCTTCTTTATAGTTGAGGTTGCTCAGTAAGTGACCATTGAATAAAGGAGGTTTTATTTAAATGTCTTCTTTTAAAATTTTAAAGGAATTATACTCTAGCTAATTATTTTATCTAGTTAGGTACATTTAAAAATACACACACACATAATTGTGTGTGTATGTGTATGTATTCAGCATGTCTAGTAATTTTGGAGTGAATGGTGCTATTTGGAGTCAATGGTGATATATATATATCAGCGTTTTCCTTTTTTTAATTAAGGTATCATTGATATACAATCTTATAAAGGTTTTACATGAGCAACATTTTAATGACTATTCATTTTAATTAAAAATTAATTACAAATTTTTTAATCAATTCAATTCAGTAAACACTGATATGGTACCTAAATTTCAACATTTGCAGTTGAATTTATTTTTTATAAATAGTCAAAAGTCATTTGGAGACTTTTCCAAATGCTCAGGATGGACATTACTATTTCAGGTACTAAGTCATTTGAAAATATCAAGTAATGAGATTTATAAGCTGCCACCAGAAGAGGAGGTACAGAACATTTAAACAGTAGCAGAAGTATTTTACGTAGCCCTCTAAGGACAGGATCAATTTGTAGGTATGAACAATAATGCATTTGTTTTAAGTCACTCATGTTTTCTTAAAATTGTAGTTACTTACTGTCATTCTACTCACTATCATATGTACAGATACAATGTAATTGTTTTTGTTTCAAAAAGTCAGTTAAAGAAATTAAAAAAAGGAAAATGTTGATATTTTATATTTACCCACATTTCATTTCCATCGCTTTTCATTCCTTTGTGTAGATCTTAGTTTCAATCTGATGTTTCAAATACTTCTTTCAACCTGAAGTACTTCATTTAGTCTTTATTCAGCATTTCTTGTAGTGAAGGTTTGCTCTCAATAAATTATTTCAGCTTTTATATGTTAAGAAATTGTTGCACTCTTATTTTTAATAACTTTTGTCATAATGACTTAAAAGTTGCAATAATGGTAAAAAGAACTCCTATGTCTTTTACCCAGAATCCGCAATTGTTCACTTTTTATTGCATATGCTTTGCTTCATCCTTTCTCCTCTCATCTTCTCTATTACGTTCTTAATTTCAGTGTTTGTGTTTTTCACATCTAGAAATTTGATTCTTTTTTAAATCTTCAGTTATTTTTATAGTTTCCAGTTCTCTGTTGAAATTCTCATCTTTTGCCTGAAAAGAGCAAGCACAGATATATATCAGTGTTTTCCTTTTTTTAATTAAGGTATCATTGATATACAATCTTATAAAGGTTTTACATGAGCAACATTGTGGTTTCAGCATTCACTCATATTATCAAGTCTCCCCACCACCCCATTGCAATCACTGTCCATCAGCGTAGTAAGATGCTATAGAGTCATTACTTGTCTTCTCCACAAGCACAAATATTTTAAAATCTGTGTCACTTAAGTTCCAGTGTAGTATCTGAAGTACATGTTTTTATCACCTGTTGCTTTTTCTGCTTCTCTTTTAGGTGGTCTTATCTCCTCATAGTTTGTTTTGTTTTATATTGTCTGCTGAGTATTGTATTTGCAAAATATAATGCATTTTGTAGAAACCATTTGAGGCTTAGGATCATGTTTATTTCTTCCAGAGAGAATTTTTCACCTGCTCTGCCAGATTCCTAGTGATCCTTACAAACTATTTCAATTTCAGGATTTGCAACTTTTCTGGGCCACCCAGATGATTTAGATGGGCCTGTAGCCTTTGATTCACATTTTGATATTCTGGCAAAATTGGCAGACGCGGTTCATAAGTCTTCCACTTTTTCCAGATTCTGGACTTCCCCTTTTGTTCCCATAGATTGTGGTAGTCAATAGTGCTGTTGAACCTTTCAACTTTTTATGATGGCTGATGCTTTCAGAACAAAAACTGCTCATTTCCTGGGATTTTCAGCTGTCTGTCTTTTCTACGTTGTCTGTCTTTTCTATGTTGTTTAGGAGGACTGGCCTGAATTACCTAGTCTGCTATTAGGAGAAAAGAAAGTCAGTACCATTTCCTCCACATGTGTTTTATTTAAAGTTAACTCACTGAGATTAAAAAAATACCCTAAATACATCCTAAAAATCCTGTTTTCTTAGATAACAGATATCTGTTGTATAACTTCTACTATTACTGGTCCAAAATAGAATAGTATTAACTTCTAGCTATTAAATTAGAGGACTTATCTTCCCTTTACCTCATCCTTGTTCAGGGCCTCCTGTTCCCTTATTTCATGGTTACAGTGATTACACAGGGCCAGTTTGTTTTACAGAAACCCCATCTGCCCCCACAGACATTCTATCCATGTGTATGCCTAGTAAATCCGAAAAGTGATCAGAGAAACTATATCCTTTGGAAGAATGTATAGTCTTTTCCATTTTTTTGATCTTCTTTCAGGAGGACTTTAAAAAATACTTGCTCTATCCTTGCTGGTATGTGTTTGCTCATTCTAAATGACGAACATGAGAGGCGTAGGAGATAGTGCCCCAGAGACAGGACTACTCTGTAATTGTCACCCACTTAGTGCTTCTGGGAGAGCTGCACCACACAGGTAGTCCTCTTATCCAAACACTGAACTCCTCAGCTCATCCAGCCACATTAGTGTCTTTTCCTGCAGAATGAGCCCTGGGGTGGGAGGTTTTCATCATCAGAAGGTTATTAGGAATACTGGCAGTTGGGAAAAATAGGGAGGGGATAAATAGAAAACTTTGGGATAATTCTATTTTAAGAAGTAAGAATATGGAAATTATTTTTGTAAAGGCTGTGAAAAATCAGAGGATTGAATTAATATTAAGAATTAAAAGATTTAAAAATATTAATTATTTTAATGTTAATTTAAAAATAACTAATTTTAATAATCATAATTACAAATATTAAAATATTGAAATATTAAAATAAAATTTTATGACAGGCATCTAATTTGTAGAGGAAATTTATTCTTATTAAAGAGTAATCTTTCAGTCATAAAGCATTGAAATATATCATGGAAGCATTAATATAATCACTTTTTTTATAAAAGGAAATATAGGAACACTCAACTAATTAATCTCAACTTAATCTAAGCAATTTTTATTTTATTAGTGACTTTATTAAGAAATGTCAAAAACACTGCCTTTTGGCTACAGTTGTCTGTCTCCTCTTGACTTTCTGAAATGTTAGATTGAGAACATTTTATAACTTTAAAAATATTGAAGGACTGAGTTTTCTTAGGAAACTAAAAGTATGTGACCGAGTAATTCCACTTCTGGAAACTTACCCCAAGAAAACAAAATCATTAATTTGATTAGATATATATAGCCACCCCTATGTTTATCACAGCATTATTTAAGATGGTCATAATGTGGAAGCAAACTAAATGTCCATTGATAGATGAATGGATAAAGATGGTATTATATATACAATGGAATATTACTCAGCAATAGAAATGAATGAAATCTTGCCATTTGTGGCAACATGAATGGACCTTGAGGATATTACACTAAGTGAAATGTTAGACAGAGAGACAAATACCGTATGATTTCACTTGTATGTGAAATCTAAAAAACAAACAACTAAACAAACAGGATAGAAATAGACTCCTGAACACAGAGAACAGATGGCTGGTCACCATAGGGGAAGAGGTTGAGGAGATGGGTGAAATAGTTGAAGGAGGAAAAATTATTGAGAATGTTTCATCTGGGTGATGGTTATATGAGTATATACACATTACAGAATTCACTGAGCTTACATTAAGATTTGTGCATTTTAATTTATGTACCTCAATAAAAAAGTACTGCTTAAAACCAAGTCAGTAATCTAGTACACTTTCTTCAAAATTTAAAATTGATGAGCTAATTGATTTTCTTGATTGTTTTAAGTTACATATTTTTTTCTATTTTATAATTACTGAAAAGATGTTAATAATTCTTGAATTTTATTAAAAACACAGACTGTCATGTTGGTATTCTGCCAAGGCAGCATTTTTATATTGCATTTAAAATATACTACACTAAGGTGAAGATGAATCATGGTCTGGATTTTTCTAGATCCTCAAATTGAATTTGTGTACTTTTTCTTTCTTATAAAAAAATTGCCAGAAATGATATAACTAATAAAAATATTTTATTGAATAGAGATAAACTCAAATACATCATTAAATCAAATTTTAGGACTAAAGTGTACTCTTTGTGTTCATATCGTTTTGTAAATTAATGAAATTAATAATATATACTGTAATGAGTAGTTCCTAATGAGCAATTTATTCGTTAGATGTTTTTCACTTTTAGGGTAATCTCTGGTTTCCTTATTAGACCTCAGATAAATATTTTCTTTTTATAAAATTTCCTACACATGAGGAGGATTTTTGTCTTTTTATATACCCTGGAATTGTTTATATAGTGTGACAAGTATCTATTCCTTACAAGAATGTAACCAAACAATATGCTAACTCTGGAGATTAATTTTTTAGTTTTCAAATAAATGTTTTAATTTATTTAAGTCTAAAAAAAAATTTCCTACACATACAGTTTTTTATCAAATATAACATGCTTAAACATGTCATTTGGGAATTTTTCAGTGTTAAGTAAATATACATTTTTTCTGTCCCTTCCCAAGGTATTTTACTATCTTTTCCTTATTTTCAAAAAGACCTTTTCAGTTTTTTGGAGAAGAAATTTATGTATGATGGTGTGGATTTTAAATATTCCTATGTATTCAAATATTGAGACATGGAACATAGAAAACAAAAGACATGGGACATGGAAAACAAAAATGAACAAAACATACTTACCAGCAAGGATCTATGAATGTTAGATCCTTGCTGGTAAGTATGTTTTTAGTCAGAGTAGCATTTAGCTTTTGAATTTAAAGAGTGACATAGATGAGTACTAACCAGGAGCAAAACTAATAAGTATCTTTTTCCCTTCTATCTCGCAACTTTCTGGGGGGAAAAAAAGATGTCCTGTGCTACTGTCAATTCCTATATATTATTGAAAAATCCTGATAATGATTGTCCATTTTCACTTAGCATGGACATATATCAGGAAGCTACATGGCATCAAAGAAGAGTCAACATAACAAAAAATTTAAAAGTAAAGAGTATGGTGAGTACAGTACCTACAGTGATGACAACTTCATTCCCTACGATGATGACAACTTCGACCCCTATGGTGATGACAGCTTTGGTACGTACGGCGGTGACAGCTTTGGTACCTATGGTCACGAAACAGAGGAAGATTTTGCCAACCAGCTGAAACACTACAGACAAGCTAAAGAAACCTCAAATACTGCTTTAGGATCATCATTTTCCAAAGAAACAGGGAAAAAACAAAGAATGAAAGGAATTCAGCAAGGTGCGTTTGAAATTGTCAGTCTGTTTTGAATATAAGAACTTTATTAAAACAGGTAGGTAGCTATGGAGTAAAAACTTAAATTTCTTTCCTTTCTCATGAACAGCTTATTCTTATGGTTCATGAATTTGTTTTTCTTTATTTTGTAGACCTTGAGGAAAAAAATCTGTAAGTATTTCAATCTGTATGATATCTTGATTTAGAAAGATACTTGATTTAGAAAGATATCCTAATATTTTAAGAGTATATAAAAATGTAAGATAATTTTCTTGTTACACTTCCCTCTCCCCTCTATATCTCAGTATCCTGAAATAGTAATGTACATTTTTCAGTTCTCTCTGTTACTCTATATATTGTTTTATGTTTTAGACTGTTAAGGACAGAATGCTGGGAAGCTAATCTTTTGTTAGGCTCTGAAATATGGTAATCAACTTTGCTATTGAAGTGTATCTGCATTTAGGGTTATGGACATCCTTCAACATTGGAAATAAAAACATAATCTAAAGAAATTTCTGGAGTGATCATTTACATTCATTGCTATCTTGAGGCACATGGTCCCTACAGAAACCAGGGCAAGTTGCCATAGAAATTATGGGTCACGTACGGGGCAAATCAATCTTAAGAATTGTCTAGTCAGTGTGGGTGCTTCAGGAGAACTGAATCAAGATGAGGTGGAGGTAAAGCAGTGAGCACAAAGCCCTATGTAACTATATTTTAATTATTGTTGAAAAAAAGAGATATGAGTAGTTTAGTTATTTCTATGGCTTTGTTTTTCTTGATTTCCTAGAAAAAGTCCTTTGAGAAATATTGATCTGGGTTTTAATGAACTAAAGAGAAAGGAATTTGCTTCTGCATATGCTATTGTAATTAGTACATTTCTTCCTGCAGTCTAGACATAGTGGTGTGAGGTCATTCCCCTTGTGGGGTAAGGAGAGCATGAAGAGGCCTTGCTCATCCCTTCCCACCTGGGGTTTTTCCTTTCAAGATCTTCTTGTTTTTCTGTTAAAGAGTTGAATACGACATTTTATTTTTGACATTAATTTTTCCCCTTAAATTATGAAAGTTATATATGGTCAAATGCAGAAAATATTTCTCTGTAGAAAAGTTAACCCAGTGAAGATCAAAGATAAAAATAATTTGAATCCCTACACCCAGAGGTAATTAGTATTCATATTTCTGAGGTACGTTTTTCCAGAATTTTTCTGATGATTATTTTTAATGAAAAACTGTATGTGTTGTTGGAAGTTATTTTTTTCCCCCTAACTATGAATTGTATCTCAGACATTCTTATGTTAATGAGTAGCTTTTAATACCTACATTCTATTCAGTTTAAATAGATACGCCATAATATGTCCAACAGATGGTTAGGGTTATTTGATAGTAATTCTTTGAAATTTAAATTGCCCCTTTTTTTCGAATTCCGAGATTAATCCTGAATATTTATATATATCTCAGAAAACATCTTGGCAAACATTTTTTCTTAAGAATAAATTCTGAATAATGTAAACATTAAAAAAAGAATAAATTCTGAAATGTAGAATTTAGTCAAAAGACATAGACACACATTTGAAGATTTTTGAACTGTGTAACAAGTTGACTTCCAAAAAGACTATGTATTAATTTATAACACCCCTACCAGCGTGTGAAAATGCCAATTTCTCCAAATCCCTACCTGTTCTTGCCCTCCTTACCTTGTTCTTGCCCTCCTTACCTTGTTAACATCCTTAAGAAACAGAATAGTTTAAGCAGTACACAGGTAGTAAAATGCAAAAATTTAATTAGTATTGTTCATTGAATCTAGAAAGGAAAAAAAAGAGTGCACTGTACATTATAGACTATGTAAAATATGCTGTTCCTATAAACTAATAGATTGACAGGTCTCTTGTCTTTTTATAATATTTGAAGTACATCTTAACTTTTTTAGGTATTGAACAGAGGGTTAAAAGTTTCAATGTTGGTCGTGGACGTGGTTTGCCGAAGAAAATCAAACGCAAAGACCGTGGGGGAAGAGCCAATAAAGGGCCTAATATTTTTTCAGGAATGGATGACTTTCAAGAGGTACTGAGAATGTATATATAATGAGAGAAGCTTTTCCATCTTTTAACCTGTTCAGCTGCAAAGAAAGCATTGTGATTGATTTTTTAAAAAATTAAAGTACCATTGATATACAATCTTATGAAGGTTTCACATGAACAACATTGTGGTTTCAACATTCATCCATATTATCAAGTCCTCACCTCCCCCCCATTACAGTCACTGTCCATCAGCGTAGTAAGATGCTATAGAGTCATTACTTGTCTTCTCCATGCTGTACTGGAAAGTATTGTGGTTTTAATGCTACTTTTGTAGTAAATAAAAAATTTCCTGCTTAGATCAAATGAGTACAAATTCCCAAGAAAGAATTGTTGTTTTAATTAGTCATGATATTAATCTAGAAATGTAAATTTAGGTGACATCGAAGTAAAATCAGTATGTTTGAAATCACCTCAAAATAAAATAGATATGTCTGAAAGTAGAAATGTATGCTCTGTTAGTTCTCTATTGTATTTTCCTCCCCTTCCTGGGGAGTCATTTTCCCCAGATGCAAATGGCAGTAATATTCTAATAGCTCAGCATGTAGCAGGGCCAACAAGGGAGATACTATAGTGGTAAATTAACTTACTAGAATTGAAAGCATTGAAGAGAAGAAAAGGGGATATAAGTGGTTGGAAAGATGAACTTATATATATCTTCTGTATAGTAGGTATTGAATAAATATATACTGAATTGAATTGAACTCTGAACGTGTACTTTTCAGCCCTGTAGAAGCTCTCCGGATTAGAGTGGTCCAATTCCTGTATTCCAGCAAGATTTAAATGAGTCATACAGAGCAACGTTGGGTTATTAAAAGCTGCAACCTTGAGTGGGAGCAAAGGGATAATAGTATATTGTAATTTGAAAAGGATTGATGTCAATCTGATCTCTGAGTTTAAAGATAATAGACAAAGATTTCTTAATATGTATTCCTCAGTATATACTATTAGGGAGATGTTAATATGTGTGACCTAAGAAAGGAAGTTCAGGTCCAAATAAATTTGTGAAACCCAGCACTTAACTATTAATTTTATCTCATTCATTCTTACATTAGTGAGTAGCTCTTAATGCCTACATTCTATTCAATTAAATATATATACCATAATTTGTCTAACAAATTACATTTGTTTGATAGTAGTAATTCTTTGAGAATTAAGTTGCACCCACTCTACTTGTGGGGATTTTCAGTGAACATGAATGTATTAAAGGCTCTAGCAGGTTAGGCATAAAGAAGCCTGTTTTACTTTTTCAATCCAATATTTTCAAAATTTACTTGAACTCTGTTTTACCCCCACACATCTATTAACGTCCACTGAACCATTCATTGTTCCATGGAATAGCAGCTTTGGAAACAAGCCTAGAATTTCTGAGTGATTATAACCTGCCTGTCCATCTTCCTGACACCTCTAGAATGTTCTGCTTTCCCTAGAACAAATTAATATGAATGCTTTCTAAGTAAGCCTTCTCCTATTTACACGCTATAGCTGAAAAAAGAAATAGTTTCCAAGAAAGTGTGGCTTTGAGCAAGTTACTATCTGTCTCTGAGCTGCAATTTGCTTAATTTGTAAAATGAGCGTATAGTATAAAATTAACTTTAAGGACCCCTTCAAGGACTAACATTTCAAATGTTTACAGATCAGGGATGCAACTAAAAGATTCTTTACCATGTAATACTAAATCAGATAAATTCTTTCTTTGCATTCATCAAATTTAGAATATTTTTCCTTTTGTTTATCAAGATTAAATATGTTATCAACTGTGTCAGTTCACTGGCTGTCATGAGAGATTTCTTCTTATGATTCCAGAAACAACCAGGAGAGTGCCAGAGCCCAGGGAAGCAGCTCCAGTTCAGGAGTGGCAGGGGGAGGCCCACCCCAGGTAGACTGAACATGCTAGAGTAGCTAGCATAGGTCCGCTTCCAACCTGGCCTTTTCAGGGAGTATAAGATCCCCCAAAGGCCAGATAAATTCAGGGATACTTGTATGTCCACACTAATTTCCTTGAAAACTCAAGGGCAGTCACAGAACAAGCAAACTTTTGATGGGTATTAAGAACTTTTATTCTGTTTGCCCATAAAACTTTTAAAGTTTTTTGTCTTTATAGTAGCTATGAAATTTTCTGTAAATACATATTTTTTCTGGTAGATCCTTTCATTTCCTCTTCCTTATATATTTAAAGAAAATTTTATGCTCTTGTTTCTTATACCAATATAACACATCTTTAGAGTAAATAAAATTTTAAATGACCAAGCAGGTAGTTTAGTTTTCCTCTGTCTATCTTCCTTCTCTCCCTCTTTCTTGAATTGTATTTTCTTAGAGATAGTATGATACAGTGCAAAAAGTTCTATCCTGACTCTGCTAATTCACCATGTGACCTTTGGCAAATTACTAATTCATCTTCAGTTTTCCCATTTGTCCAATGAACATGATGAACTAGATTACTTCTGTGGTATCAACACTTACAGAGAGAGATCTTAAGAATAGAGGACATTTGTGTTTCTTTTATAGGTTCAAACTTAAAAGATCAGATATCTTAGCACTTTGGTTTGTCCAAAATTTTATTGTTAAAATTGCTTTATATTTTCTATAATACCTTGATCAGGATTCCCATAGTTACAGATACTGAGATACTTTCTACTCATTTCAATCTAAAAAATGAAACAACTCCCCCAAATCCTCTATTAAAAGAATGAGACATATCATTAGAAGGTAACATAGAAGAATGAGTTATTAATGAAACTCAGGTACAATTTGGTGCATTTTTCAGGGTGTTTTTGGTGATGACCTAATACTTGTAATTTCAATCATGTTCCTCAAGTTGGCTCATTGACTTTGCTAATGCACTGTCTTTGGCTACCTGTTTTATTGCAGTCACAATTCTTTGTACAGAGGCACATGTGAGTTAACCATTTATGTCTACCTACTTGTTCTAAATGAGCCTAGAAACAGAAAATGTTTGTGAGTCAAATTTACATAGATTTAAGACATTTTAAATGATCCTATCAGAGTGTAGTTTAAGCAGTTTCATTGTGGCAAATTGGGTATACTTACATTTTTTTTTAAAAAAAACCTCTAGGATTATCTGTTTTCTTGGTATTTTGTACTTTTCTTCAGAATTCTTATAATAAAACTTTTTTTTCATCTGTGAGTGCTGAGGATCTGATTTAAGTCTCGCTATCTATTGCCTCAAGTGTTGGTTTATTTTCAGTAGGTTGTGCTTTGTTCTCCTTCTCCCAGCAAATTGAGGGAAGGGGGGGACACTGAAATCAAATGAGAAAAGCAGATAGTCCTTGCACTTCTTCGATGTGTTGATGCACAGTGCATGCCAGGTGCTTGAAGAACAGCATTGCCTCATAGACTCACAATGGGGTCCTCTGCTGATTGAGTATTGCACTATCTTGCTTCTTAGCCTTACACTCATAGCAAAAGTTGAATAGGGGACTGAGAAGAATTAAGGTACCATACACTAATTTTTCTTAATTTTTTTAAACTTAAAAATTAAAGGGAATTTTATTGTTGTTAACAACCATTTGATCAATAAATATGAGAGATGCCCTCTCAAAAAAATAAATAAATAAAAGGTACTACATCCTCCCTGAATTTTTTTTGCCTAAAGAAAGCACATGCAAAAAAATCTCAGTTTTTTTAGAGATCTGTCTAGAGACATACATTATTAAATATTGGGTTATATCCTTTTAGTCTTTTTTTTTTCTTTATTATTATAAAATTGGGATCAGTTTTTCACTTAGTAAAGCACTGTGAACAAATCCCTGTGTCCCTAAATTGTCTTTCCATCCCATGATTTTTTAATAACTGCATTAATAGTCTACCACCTAAATGTATTATAATGTATTTGACCAGCCTCCTAACTTGGGATGTGTAGAGTGTTTCTAGGTTGGTTGGTTGGTTGGTTTTGTTTCACTGTGTAAATAATTCTGCAGTATTTATTTTTGTAAATTAATCTTTGTGTACCTCCCTGACAATTCCTTCAGAATAATCCTGAAAAGTACAGTTCTGAGTCAAACAATATAGATATCTTAAATCTTTTATAACATACTTATCAACAAACATGAGAGTGAATATTTTATTGTACCTTTGCTAAAACTGAGTATTATTGTTAATTTTCAAGCTTTTCATAATTTTATTTTTAGAAATATAGTTATGCATCCTCCTTAAAATAGAAAAAAATTTCTTTGTAACCACTGGTAGCAATAAGCAGTTTGTTAGAATGGTATCATTCTCCAAATAAATGAATAGCATCAGAGTGTCCAGTCTTGACCACTTTAAATAGTTTGTATACTATACACTTTAAATTTGTATACTGCTTTCCAGATCCATTTGACTATACATTTTAATACCTACTTAATATTTCATATGTTGCACTCAAATTAATTTCTTTTTCTTTCAGTATAGTAAACCAGGGAAAAAATGGAAGGTTATGACTCAGGAATTTATTAATCAGCACACAGTGGAACACAAAGGAAAACAAATCTGTAAATACTTTCTGGAAGGGAGATGTATTAAAGTAAGTTTCTAGGGGTATCATATTTTAACTTCCAAAATAATCTTTAAAATTTAAAGTCTTTTTGGGGGGTGCTTAGTTTCACTTTTCAAATAGTTGTAATAAAACTAGTTCTTCAGAATGTGTCTTGCATGGATATGCTGTACAACAGAGCTTTGTTGAAGTCAGATTTTATTTAACAAACATAATGCTGATTGTGTGGCAAGTACTGTTCAAAGGGATTACTAATATTAAGTGTTTTAATCTTTACAGTGACCCTATGAAGTAGTTAGTGTTATCCCTATTTTAAGCATAGCCAAACCAAGAAGTTAAGTAGCTATGCTGGAAATCGTGAGTGCTGGTGAACCCAAGTGAGGTCATGCTTACGGGTGCTGCCTCCCCACACAGACACGTCCACTTCCTTGGGCAAGAATTCTGAGGGATTGCTTGAATTATTATTAGCTTATTATTTAAAGACTGAAGAAAAGACCATAGTTCCACCCTGAAATACCATAGAGAAAATTCACTTCAATTGTTTCCTTTTTTCCCTCTACTTTCTTTTCTTTTTTGTAAACAGGGAGATCAGTGTAAATTTGATCATGATGCAGAGTTGGAGAAGAGAAAAGAGATCTGCAAATTTTATTTACAAGGGTATTGTACCAAAGGAGAGAACTGCATTTATATGCATAATATCCTTTATTAAAATATGTTAACCAAAATACTGAGGTTTTAAAGCATCATTGAGGTTTTAAAAATTGTAAGTACAACCTAGAAAGCCTAGTTTGGTTTTAAATTTAAAATAATACTTAAACCAAGTCTAGTCAGCTTTTGTACTTTTGTACTTCAAAAAATGAAACTCAAAACTGAGTTTTATTCTTTAAGGAAATTAAATAACTTTCCTTTGGGAAAAAACACTGAAATAAAGATACTTTATATTTAATATACTCAGCTTATAAGTATTCCAAGAGACTGTATTTCTACTTAGGTTCAAGAGTAACAAATTATCATAACTGAAAACGATAAAATCAAAGTCTTGCCAAATCTTACCACCCAATGATTAAACACAGTATATTCTTGCTTACTTCTTCCTTTGGAAATCTATACATTGAAATTTTACTCCTGCCTCCCCTACCCCTCACCACCCAACTGGCATTTCACTGTATTTTAGTACTGGTATAAATCTTAAAAATCACCATATGATGAAAATTATTGAATCTACATGGCCAGCATGAAGGGGCTCATTTTTTATTCTCTCTACTTTGGTATATATGTTTGATAATTTTCAAACTAACTTTTTTTTAATCCTAAGTGGTCTCACTCTTGAGGGATATCCATGCAACAAAATGGCATGAAGTCTGAGTCTTTCAGATATTTTTCTATGCTGAAGTATCTATGTGTGAGTGGATGTATATATGTGTCATAAATTTTGCACATAATTTTTTACAAAAATAATGATCCAGCTATGATTGTAAAGGTTGTGTTTTTTATTTAACATTGACATCTTTAGTTCATATGGATTCTATTTTAAAGTATGATGTGCAGTAAGAATCTTGTTTTTTTCACATGGTTAATTAATTGTCTCACTTTCACTGATTTAAAATGGCACCTTTAACTAGTTTCTAAATTTCCTTATGTGCACAGTTCTACTTCTGTACAAATATTATACATTGTGCTATTCCCCTCTATAATAGTGTATTTGATATTTTTGTAAGGCAAATAATCTTCCTCTATCAAAATGTTAAAATAATTTGTCTTACTTAAGAAAAAAGTAAAAATTTTAAAGATTTGGTATATTCCTTTAGAAATCAGACACTATTGAATTGTTTCTAAAGGCTTTCAGTCTATTCTTATGTTTTACTCATTAGTTATGCCATTTGTAAGTAATGATAGTTTTACTTCTTTCATGATATTTAATGCCTCTTATCTAATTTTAATAGTTTTGGCTACATTGCCAGATAATGTTTAGCTAACAATGTTTGTAGCAGACATTAATACATGTTTTAATGGCAGTGCCCTTTTGCTTTGGCTTGTGGCTGTAATTTTAAGATAGTTTTTTTAAAAAATCAAGTTAAGTAAGTATATCTTTATTTTACTATGAGTTTTTTAAATCAAAAAAGGATTTTGAATTTTATCAGTTGCCTTTTACATCTGCTGAGATGAGCATAGTTCTTCTCTCATGATCTTATCAATGTGATGATTACAGTAATAAATTTCATAAAGCCACCCAGGAATTCCCTGGACACAAACCACCTGAAAATAGTATATTTTTTGTTATACTTCTGGATTTAATATTTTGTTTAGATATTTATCTCCAAAATCCAAAAGGTTAGCCTGTAGTTTTCATGTTGGGATATTTGACTTTAACATGACATATCAAGCACCTTTATTTTCTCCACAAATACAAACTGTTGCTACAGAATTTGTTTTGTGTAATATTTTACTGGAAATTAACAGGGCATATATAATTAAAATACTAGTATTTTTATAATTATAAATACTTTTTCTTTAAAAAATTATTTTCTAGTTTAATGGAATAAGATTTAAAAATTTTGAATGTTTTGCTGCATAATTAAAATATTTAATCTTAAAATAAGAATTGCTTAAGTAATAATATAAGAAAATTAGATTTGTTTTATATAACATGATTATATATAATTTAATATAATATATAGTAAATAATACAGTCTTACTAATTCAGTGCAGTTATGCTTTTTGGCTTTAAAATATTAGAGTTTGGTTTTATTTGGTGTGTTCCTTAATATTTGTGTTTACATGAATTTCCATGCAAGTTCTATCATAGTGGAGCAAAATGTTATCAAGGAGATAAGTGTAAATTTTCACATGATGATCTGACTAAAGAAACAAAGAAACTTTTGGACAAAGTGAGTAATGTTTTTGTACCTTTATTATTTGTTAGGTCTCTCTATAGATTCATTTGACCACCATGTTTATAAATCATATATAGATCGTATTTTATAAAACTCTTGAAAAATCAAGGGTTTGTTATTTTATGTTTTATTCTATAAATATAATATGTTAGAAAAGCAGAATTATTAGACTAGGAATTAAGAATATTTTATTCTTATTCCTATTCTGCCATTAAAATAGAAAATTTACTTTAGTAAATTAATTTTGGTAAAAATATTCTTTACCTCTCTGAATCTCATTCTGTTCATCAAAAATGAGATAGCTATCTCTGAGCCATTTCAACTTTAATACTATATTTTCTATTAACAAAACTAGTTTACTGAAGTCTTCCTAGTTTTAAGTGGGGAAGAAAGCTTGTTTTTAAATAATAATCTTTGTCAATTATTTTTTAGGTGTTGAATACTGAAGAAGAATCCATAAATGAAGATGAAAGAGAATTAGAAGAACTTAGAAGGCGTGGCATAACTCCTCTTCCCAAACCACCTCCCGGAGTTGGGCTTCTGCCAACCCCACCAGAGCATTTTCCCTTTTCTGATCCTGAAGATGATTTTCAGACAGATCTCTCTGATGATTTCAAGAAAATTCCATCTCTTTTTGAAATAGTTGTAAAACCTACTATGGATTTAGCACATAAGATTGGGAAGAAGTAAGTTAAAACTTATAAAAGTGATGGCTTTTTTCCCCCTAAAAATTCTTAATGAGAAACTAATTTGTATCCCATGTTAATCATGTAATTAAACTTAGGTAGAAAAAGCAGCTATCTGGCATGCACCCCTATTGCTGCTTCCCATTTCCTCTTTGTCCCTAGCCAGTGTACTGCCTGCTATCAGTGCTTTTCTCTATGGAACTCTTAGTGCAGCTCCAGAAACCTCTCCACACTGGCATTCCTCCCATCTTGTTATGAGGCTGCATTGCTGTTGATTATATCTTCAATTAGTGGGTAAAAGTCCTCAGTATATTTGGTTCTTTTGGAGAAATATTTCCTGAACTGTTAGAGGAAAACTTCTGAGTAAGGGGGATCCAGATTTGTGTTTTCTAACACCATCATTCCACTTCTGTTGTCCATCTCACAGGGTCTGTGTGCCTGTGTTCTAAATCCCACAGTTGGTTATTCTCTTAACTCTGAACACTCAGGGAAGCAATGAGATATCAGCAAAAAAAGGAACAAGAAATCCATAGCAAGCATCACAATTAATGTGAGCCATTATATCTTCTGTAGTCAAGAAGACAAGTGTGTCCACTGTTGGGCTAATATTGTAGATCAGATCTTAGTCAATGTAAAAAGACAGAGATTAGATATAAAGATTTTAAATGGAGAGGCAAACATTTGGTCAGTTTCCCTCAGTAAACCTAAAAGAATCAACTGACAAACTATTGGAAATAGTAGTTAAATTAATAAGGGGTCCAGAAAGAAGAGCAACATTCAAAAACTGTTTTTATATGCCAGCAATAACTAATTAGAAATTGAAAAGTTGTATATGTTTGTATAGTATAATATAAGTTTTGTTACAAAAAAGATCTGCATATGCTTAAAAAAAGGACTAGAGGAGAACTAATCAAATTTATTGCTGGGTGAGGGGATTAGAAGTGATTCTTATTTATCTTGGTACTTTTCTGTATTTTTGAAACTATCAGGAAATAAGTTCTAGAATAGCTGATAGTAAGCAGCAATTAAGAAAACTGTGGGTTAAACTGAAAGCAAGATACATATGTTGGTGTTTCCACTTACAGATAATATGGAATCAGTTGCTTCTTAAAAACATAGTATTCTATTCTGATATAGAAACCAACACTTAACCAGTCTCTATTTAGAAATGTAACATTCTTGTTTGTCTCTTTTCTTTGAACTAAGAAATATTATTCTTTTTGTCTACAGGCCACCAGCATTTTATAACAGTGCTTCACCACCAGGACCACAATTTCAGGATAGCAGCCCACATCCTCAACATATCTATAGTTCTGGGTCAAGTCCAGGTCCTGGACCTAATATGTCTCAGGGACACCATAGTCCTGTGATGCACCTAGGCTCCCCTGGGCATCATCCCTGTGCAGGACCTCCTGGTCTCCCAATGCCACAGAGCCCACCATTGCCACCTGGTCCACCAGTTGTAGACCCTCATGGTCAAGCTGGAGTACTTGTTCAACCAGATATACTTTTGACACCACCAAGTATGAGTGGTGCTTACCATTGCCCAGGCTTTCCAGAGCACATGGTGAAAGTGCCTGGAGAGAATCACTGTTGTCCAGGTTCAGCACACATGCAAAGTACTGGTGAAGTGCAGCTCAGCACCAATTATGAGTCCTTACAGAACCCAGCTGAGTTTTATGATAATTACTATTCACAGCATGCCGTACATACTTTTCAGCCACCCAGTAACTCTGGTGGTAAGTTGACCTTTTGAAATAACTAATTTATAATTTTAAGTAAGCAGAGTCCTATTTTACATTGAAAGCATGGTAAGAATATATGTTTTAAGTAAAGCTAAGTAAAATATGACGGAATTGAAATCTTAAAATATGTTTTAAATTTGACCAAACATTGTAACAATAGAACTTCAGATAACTTTTAAAAACATTTACAATCACATAATAATTTGATAATCAAATGTGATTGTATTAGAGCTTCAGTTTCTTGTAACTTACAGTGGTACTCTGTAGTACTATGTGCTCAATCACTGCCTGTCTCTTTCCATGTTATGTGTGTAGATGGAATGTGGCCTGGTGAATTTGCCCCGCATCAGCCTCCCATAGTTCAAGACTCACCTGACCACGGGAGTGGGTCTGATGGCAGCAACAGGACAGGCCCCAGCCCCCTGCCCACTCCGGGTCTGCTCCCTGCAGTGCAGAGAGCTCTTTTTGTCCGACTTACTCAGAAGTACCAAGATGAAGAGCCAAGCAGCACCCAGCTTCAAAGGGCGCCAAGCAAGGAAGAAGGTGTGTCCGTTGTTATGATAGCATCTTACCTGTTTGGATCACTCAGTTCCTGAATGGTCTTGAATAGGTTAGACTTTGAGAACTGAGTTGCTCTGGACTATTTATTCTATTTCCAATTTACCTTGTAGCTTCTGTCTTCTTGGGATTGATTGTGGTTTCCAGTGCCATTAGTAATTAATTGCAAAGGGTTTACCTTGAAGCAGTGAATAGATCTGAGGCTAGAGTGTGAGGCCTGGTCAAGCAGACTTGCAATTAAGTCCTTTTTATTTGGAATAAAAGAAATAGAACAGGAGCAGGACACCTTCCAGTTCAGGAATTTTTACTTCTAGCTCAAGTTCAAAATGATTCAGTTATTAGAGAACCTTTTATGGATATCAGCTGTATATTTCAGATTCTGGTATATTATTAATGAATATTATTTTTAATTTAAAAGATAACGTGGAGACACTAGTTTTACTTTAGTGTGTTTGGTATCGATAAGTCTACAGCAATTAGTTAATTCAGTTAAAGAGAGAAAAATTTAAAGCACCCAGTTCTAATGAATTACTAAATTGATATGTTTGGCCACTCTTAAATATAAAATTTGGAAGTAACTATGTAAAACTAGGTAACACTAGGTAGTTACAAGCTACTCTTTGAACATTATCTCTGTTACATATTCAAAGAAGGTAATATTCTCTTCATTTATTTAACATCACAGGGAAATAAAAGATTCCTAATAGGTTTATTTCATGTATGATTTATGTTTACTCCTTTAAGTGCTAAAACTTAATTTTAAGAAACAGCTGTTTTTTTTTTGTTTGTTTGTTTGTTTTTAGAGGGCATCTCTCATATTTATTGATCAAATGGTTGGTAACAACAATAAAATTCTGTATAGGGGTATCAATGCTCAATGCACAATCATTAATCCATCTCAAGCCTAATTCTCGTCAGTCTCCAATCTTCTGAAGCATAATGAACAAATTCTTACATGGTGAACAAATTCTTAGATAGTGAATAAATTCTTACATGGTGACAGTGCAAGGGCAGTCATCACAGAAACTTTCGGTTTTGATCACGCATTATGAACTATAAACAATCAGGTCAAATATGAATATTCGTTTGATTTTTATACTTGATTTATATGTGGATCCCACGTTTCTCCTTTTATTATTATTATTATTTTTCTTTTTAATAAAATGCTGGTAGGTAGATGCAAGATAAAGTTAGAAAACATAGTTTAGTGTTGTAAGAGAGCAATTGTAGATGATCAGGTGTGTGCCTGTAGACTATGTGCTAATCTGAGCTAGACAAGGGCAATAAAACATCCACAGATGCAGAAGCTTTCTCTCAAAACAGGGGGGGGTTGAGGTTCTAAGCTTCACCACTGTTGTTCCCCGATTTCTCACCTGATGGCCCCCCTGCGACTGTGCCTGTCCTAGGTTGTTCCTCCTTTGAGGAATCTTACCCGTCTCTGGCTAACCAGTCATCTTCCGGGGCCATACAGGGAAATGTAAAGTTGGTAAGTGAGAGAGAAGCCATATTGTTTGAAAAGGTTAGCTTTTTACTTCTTTGCAGATTTATGCCCTGTGGCTTCTATGCCCAGCACTTGTCTCGAGGTATCTTTACCACCTGGAGGAATTATGATACTCGGTAAATTCGATATGAGGCACGAATTCTATTTAAGGGTTGTAATTAGGAAGGAAGAAGAAAAGCTATAGATGTAGCATATGAAGGAAACTTGGGAGGATTGATTATTTCTTTGACATATCTTCTTGTATAGTACCTTAAGTATGTATAGGTTTTAAACTACTAACTAATTTGCACACACATATTAACATAATAGGAATACGGTGACATAAACAAAGCAAATCTATAATTACCAGCCATCTCCAGTGAAGCCAAGAAAACCATTTAGGCACCCTAGGCATTTGTGAAAATTTATCTATGATATGATGGATATTTTCCAACTGTACTTGAACCATCAGACAAATTAAAGCAGCCCATTTCTGGGATCTGTTCACATCCCATATGTTCTTTTAACCATAGATAGTCTATAGTCATGAGATTTTGGGGTGCTACAACTTGCACCCCTCCCAACTCCTGGTTGAGTTCCAACAGTACAGATCCAGTCAAATTCGTTGTCTCACTGTATGCACATGCCAGCCTAGACATCTCCCTCCTCCTTCTTATGGCAAGTCCAGGAGACGGTGGGCTGGATGCAGCCACAACCGCAGCATCGTCCGGATCCCTGTGGAGGCTTTTTGATGATCATCCCCCGGCACGAGTCCTCCAGAGAGTGCTGATGCCGGAAGCTCCTCCTCATATCGTATCTTAGTTCATTTTCTGGGTATCCAAGCTAGGCCTTGATCTTCTGCGTAGAAACAAACAGACCCTTTGCCCACACTTTGACATGCCCTCTATACCACTGTGCAGAACTCATTGGAGGTCAGCACACAGTAACTGCTTTTTTTTTTTTTTTTTATTAAGAGAAAGGAATATTATCAGAAAAGAGTACCTCCATAGCTGATCATCTGACACCCTTTAAGTGATCAACATTAAGGATATTTAAAGCATGCGTTGATCTTTGATTTACCAATAGTTTTATCCTGTTAAGGAGTAATCCCCCTTTTCTTTCTTTCTTTCTTTTTTTTTTTTAATTTTTAATCTACACTTACCTGAAGAATACTATGTTTACTATGCTCTCCCCTATATCAGGTCCCCCCTAACAACCACATTACGGTTACTGTCCATCAGCTTAGCAAAATGTTGTAGAGTCACTACTTGTCCTCTCTGTGTTGTGCAGCCCACCCTCCCCTTTCTCCCTCCCCCCCATGCATGCTAATCTTAATACCCCCCTTCTTCTTCCCCCCCCTTATCCCTCCCTGCCCACCCATCCTCCCCAGTTCCTTTCCCTTTGGTACCTGTTAGTCCATTTTTGGGTTCTGTAATTCTGCTGCTGTTTTGTTCCTTCAGTTTTTCCTTTGTTCCTATACTCCTCAGATGAGTGAAATCATTTGGTATTTCTCTTTCTCCGCTTGGCTTATTTCACTGAGCATAATACTCTCCAGCTCCATCCATGTTGCTGCAAATGGTTGGATTTTTCCACTTCTTATGGCTGAGTAGTATTCCATTGTGTATATGTACCACATCTTCTTTATCCATTCATCTACAGATGGACATTTAGGTTGCTTCCAATTCTTGGCTATTGTAAATAGTGCTGCGATAAACATAGGAGTGCATCTGTCTTTCTCAAACTTGATTGCTGCGTTCTTAGGGTAAATTCCTAGGAGTGGAATTCCTGGGTCAAATGGTAGGTCTGTTTTGAGCATTTTGATGCACCTCCATACTGCTTTCCACAATGGTTGAACTAATTTACATTCCCACCAGCAGTGTAGGAGGGTTCCCCTTTCTCCACAGCCTCGCCAACATTTGTTGTTGTTTGTCTTTTGGATGGCAGCTATCCTTACTGGTGTGAGGTGATACCTCATTGTAGTTTTAATTTGCATTTCTCTGATAATTAGCGATGTGGAGCATCTTTTCATGTGTCTCTTGGCCATCTGTATTTCTTTTTTGGAGAACTGTCTGTTCAGTTCCTCTGCCCATTTTTTAATTGGGTTATTTGTTTTTTGTTTGTTGAGGCGTGTGAGCTCTTTATATATTCTGGACGTCAAGCCTTTATCAGATCTGTCATTTTCAAATATATTCTCCCATACTGTAGGGTTCCTTTTTGTTCTATTGATGGTGTCTTTCGCTGTACAGAAGCTTTTCAGCTTAATGTAGTCCCACTTGCTCATTTTTGCTGTTGTTTTCCTTGCCCGGGGAGATATGTTCAAGAAGAGATCACTCATGTTTATGTCTAAGAGGTTTTTGCCTATGTTTTTTTCCAAGAGTTTAATGGTTTCGTGACTTACATTCAGGTCTTTGATCCATTTTGAGTTTACCTTTGTATATGGGGTTAGACAATGGTCCAGTTTCATTCTCCTACATGTAGCTGTCCAGTTTTGCCAGCACCATCTGTTGAAGAGACTGTCATTTTGCCATTGTATGTCCATGGCTCCTTTATCAAATATTAATTGACCATATATGTTTGGGTTAATTTCTGGAGTCTCTAATCTGTTCCAATGGTCTGTGGCTCTGTTCTTGTGCCAGTACCAAATTGTCTTGATTACTATGGCTTTATAGTAGAGCTTGAAATTGGGGAGTGAGACCCTCCCTACTTTATTCTTCTTTTTCAGGATTGCTTTGGCTATTCGGGGTCTTTGGTGTAAGAAACAGCTGTTTTAATGGTAATCTTTATATGAAGTCTTATGAAACTTTATATTTTCATAAACAAGAAAATTACAACTTTTCTAGATGATAGAAAATATTGTGCTATAATATATAATTGGTGGTATTTAAGGGGGTTATTTTCTCTATATATAGGAAAAATTCTTGAACAGCTAGGGTTTTTTTGTGTTCATTTTTATAAAGTTTAATGCCTTTATACATTTTGTCGGTCCTGTGATAAAAAGCTATCATCTCCTATCTAATATCTACTTCCTATTGGCCTATCTGTACTTTTCTACTTTCCTTCTTCTATATTCATTCTCATAACAAAAAAGATTTAAGACTGTTTTTAAGACTGCTTATAAAGTATATTGATATGAAAGTGAAAATAAAATAGCATCCTATCTATTAGGATCAGATTTGGATCATCTTACCAATTTGGATTAAGGAACAGATTCGATGAGGAATGAAATGGTATGCAGAAATATTTGAAATAACTGAAACATGGTTAGCACTCTGGACTCTGAAATAACTGAAACAGGCAAAAATGAATCACAGGCTGAGCCCCAGACTTCCTGGAGGCCAAAGGAGAAAAGAGATCTAGTGTCTAAAAGTGGTTTTTGCAGATATCAAGATCCAAGTAAATCTTTTTTCCAGTATGATATGGTATGTACTATTTTAAACCATATCCCCACCCAAATCCCAATGCTTGTTTTGTAAGCACTACTTTGTTCCCATTAAAGTTCCATGTAATAGAAATACCTTAGTGAGCAGTGAGATGAAGTGAAAATGAGAGTATCTACAATATTCTATTAATCTAAAATAGTCTAGGGTTTGTGTGTGTGTGTGTGTGTGTGTGTGTGTGTGTGTGTGTGTGTGTGTGTGTGTGTGTGTGTGTGTGTGTGTGTAT